ATGTTTAGTGAACCAAATTTCCTTTTCCTACTATCACAAGACTATAATAGGTTTACCAGCATGACCTGAAATTTAAAAAAACCCACTGTCATTCATATTCCAAATCATAGAGGCCTTATTCAGGGTTTCTAAGACTATAAATCTTTATGGTAGCAGAAAATCTCTTCTTTCTCTTTTGGAAGTGCTGGTGGATTGAAAGTGCTGACTTTATGGTTAGCAGCCCAATGTGTAACCCATTACATCATCAGGACTCCTTACCATGAAATTTAGTGGACCTTTATGACTTAGCTCTGGCTTAGCAGATATAATTAATAGTCCTTTTCCAGACACAGGTAATAAAACCTCTATTATCATTGTTTGAATGTTTCTTTAGTTTTGTTTATGAGACTCTGACACTTAAAAGTTGAGGGTTGAAGACAATGTTATATAATCCAAATTGCCCAGTTTTCATATGAATTCAGTATTAGTATATTCTATGGAATATTAATAGCATTAATGCAAATGATTCAAATTCTATATTTTATACTTTTGGGGAACTACTTAAAGTTCTATTATATTTCAACAACTACTACAGGGACCAACAAGGTCTATGCAGATGTCAACTAGCTTCCCACAGTATTTCACTTGGTCAAGTTCAGCTAATCTGTCTATCTCTATCTTGGGCCTATCTTAATGCCGTAATATAAAACTTTCCCAGCTCTTGGATGGAAGTGGGGGGGGGGGCAAGTGATGCCCATGAGGCAGCCCTCAATCAGAGTAAACAGGAATGGACAAATGCTTCTCTTTTCAACCCAACAGGGGCAGTTCTCAGTCACGTTTATAAAGTTCCTGAGAGGGCACAAGGGATTTAGCACCTATTGTCCACAGTGGTTTCCAGCAAGATAGAACATCCCTGTATTTGAATTTCCTTCTTTCCTGTTCACGCTCTGTGTTTCTCATATCTACTATCGAATATTAAATATCTGCATATTTAATATCTACATATTAAAACACACACAAATACACATGACCACCTTTTCTACCCCTTTGGTTTAGGTTCTGCTTTGAGTGATCCAGACTGACAAACATCTTCGCCATAAGAAGAAAACAAAGCACTTCCTAAATAATATTTTATGCTCATCATAATGACCTTTGAAAACATCTGAGTAGGCTACTCAAGGCTGGTAAACTGTCATGATAATTGTTAAATCAATCATCTACATTAATCTCAGATTCAACTGCTCTGAGGTTTTGCATTCATTCTTTTTGATAGAATATTTTGTTTATTTTAATTACATTAATTATTAGGTCAATAGTTTGCCTAAGTCTTGTGAATTCTTAGGTAGGAGCTCAAATTTCTAAAATGCCTTTCATAAAGACTTCTTGCATTCCTCTAGCTCACCTACAAGCAGAAAAGCTCAGTGGGTATTAAGATTACCTTTTAACTAGGCAAGAGTAGAAAATGAGTAAAACTCAAATATTCTACTGAGATACACTATAAAACCACAGAGTAAGAAGATTATTTTTAAACTCAATTGACTACAATTCTTACTTGAAATGTCAGGAAATTGACCCTGATATAGAGTAAATCACATAGGAATTGGGGCTTCCCCAGCTTTTAATTTTATTATTTTTTTAATGTGCTGATTTATTTCTTTCTGCTTCTTTATAACTTTGACTTATAGAACATTTTCATGGAGTGTGTGGTGGAGTATTGGTTTTCTGCACCATCCATCTTGTTAAACTACTGGTTCCAACCATGATATTTGAAAATAGAAACAATTACCTCATTGTAGTCAAACTTTTCCTGCCGTATGTTAACAGAGGCTTTTTCTTATAGGAGAATAAAATATAATGAATTTCTCTTCTAAGCTTTCAAGTTTTGCTCTTTGATATTTAAGCTTCCATGTGGAAGACTCACAAAGATCTTCAGAAAGAATGAATGGACACAATTCTGTGATTTACTTTTAGCATTTTTAATCAACCGTTCTCTGTACAAGTATCACCTAAGTTCAAATCCAGTTATACCAATTATTATTCAAACATTTCTAAACCACAAGTTCCTCCTTAAAATAGGGACAACAATTATGTCTATCTCCAATTGTTGTGTGGATTTAATAAAATTATGAAATGTCTATCATAATAAGGGCTCAAGAAATGTTACTATCATTACAATCCTCATATTCATTTGTATCATTGCCACAATCATCATAATCAATATTATCATTGATTTCAAATGCCCGATGATAGAGAATAAGAATTAAATATTAAATATAGGTTACTTCATTTCTTCCATACAATAGTCCTCTGATGCAACGGTTTTGCTCTCAGCTTTAAGGTGAGGAAACCAAAGCTCAGCAAGTTAAAACAATTGCCCTCAGAATTCCAACTAAAGGGTTGAAATATAAATCCAAGTCAGCTCAGCTCCAAAGCTCATAATTTTCTACTTTGATGTGGAGAAAAGGAAAAAGCATCAGAAATCTGCAAGACCTTAATAAACAGGTACTTTCCCCCTTAACATAACCATTTGAGGAAACGTATTTACTAAATATTACTGTTTTGTTGACTATTTAATTAACAATATTTAACTGAGCCTATTTCACAATCAAAAAGCTTATATTCTGGTGTCTGAATTCACAGATAATAGTGTATTGTTTCTTTCCCCATATTTCATTTGCAGTCAACTTGTTATTTTATAACATCCTTGTTGGAAGTTATGAAATAGTCCAAATATAATTCTTAGCATACACAAAAGGGGCTCTTGGAGATGTTTTTAATAAAGTATATACATAACATTTTAAACTCATTTAGACTTGAGATGAGGTAGATACTAAGTTATCTTTTTTTTTTTCTCTCTCTCATTTTCATAACATAGAAACAAATGATAAAAAGAAGAAAATGATTCTGTGGTTCAAAATTTGGCTTTCCAAACTTCAAATATTGATGTCTTCTCCCAAAGCTACCTTGGACTTATTTATTACAGGGATTTGAAGTATTTAGCAAATCTCTTTCCCATTCAATTATCTTATAGCTATAAATGTAACTGTTTAGTAAGTTATGCATATTAGGTATTCACAGTTCACTCCTTACTTATTGTAACAACTTCAACTTAACCCTTGCAAAAATTATCTGAGGACACTTTGAGAGCTACCTAAATTGTAATTTATGGTGCCAGAAAGAGCTGGCTATTCGTTTGGATGTCTTCTTAAAGGCTTGGGTTCTTTTTGTGGTTACAGCAATGTGGTTTTGTCAAAGTCAAATTGTACTGCATCTGATCATTCTTCATTATTTCTATCAGCACTCAACAAGTATCTATTAAATGCATACTCTATGTCTGCCAGAAGTACAGTGACTTGGTACAATAAGCATTAGTCTGTGAACCACAAGGTCAGCATTTCAAGCACACAAGCTGCTCTTCAGGAGAAAGATGATGCTTTCTGGTCCTGAAAAGATATGTTGTTGTTAAGTACCGTTGAATTGGTATAGGGTTTCCAAAGTACAGTTGGTGGGTTTGAACAGCCGAAGCTATATTTTGTAGTCCAGGGCCGATTCTACATACCCACACCAGGAGAAAAGATATACAGCCTCGGAAACCCTATACAGGTTCTCTATGAGTAGGAATTGACTCAAAGGCACTTAGCAACAATGCCATGTGTCTGCCACTGTTTTATGTACTAAACAAAACAGACAATACCTTGCTTCATGAAACTAATATTCCATGGACAGATGAAAGAGAGCACAAACACTGGGAGAAAAAGATAGCTGTCTGGACAGAGTCAGGTATGTAGTAATACCCACAGCCCATAGCTTTGAAAGGGCACTTACTGTCCACTCTGGCGAAAAACAAAAGGAGTCAATGATTTGGCAAAAAGTCCCCTGAACTTGTCATCAGAAAACCAAAGTTCCAGACAATGTCTCAACACTTTTTATCAGTGCTGAGGGAAGTTATTGAAGCTCTTTGACATCCACTTGCTCTTCTGTCAAGGTAGAATAATGCTAATTCCTCTGAATTTGTCATGAGTGCTTAAAAATATCAGATGTCTTTGCTTTTTCTACATAATCTAGTTTAAATTATTTAGCATCGTACTAAAGACCTTGGCTATCTTTCTAGTTTTAATTTTCCAATTCTTATTCTCTTTGTTTAAGATAAGTCTAATATTTTTCTAGCTGGCTGATTTCTGTTGGTTCTGTGAGAATCAACTCAAAGACAGTTTGCTTTGAGACATTTTGACTGTTGGTAATTTTACTTTTATATACAACAGGGGTGGGGAACATCCAGCCTGCTGGTTGTATATGGCCTGAGAAATTATTTAGTCTGGCATTGTTAAGACAACCCCAGTCCCAGCTATTATATTATAGCATGTTAATTTTTAAGTTGATAATTTTGTATAGCCATGAATGATGTTATAAATATCCAAATGGCCCTTCGCAGAAAAAAGTTTCTGCATCCTAGATATATATACAATATTAGGAGACACATGTTTGACATATTTAAAACGGTTTCCTTTGGAGGGATTTTTAGAAGCAGAACTACTGAGTGAACTAGAATGAATATCTTAAGGATGCTGGTATAAATTACAAAAATGCTTTCAAAAAATTTCGAGCTTCACCAAACATTTTATAAGAATGCTTGTCTTAAAAGATCTTGGCTAACCAAATGTGTTATTAACTTAGTTTTCATTTTGGCTGATTGTTTGACAGCACACAGAACTTTTTAAAATCTCTCTTAGCTAGGCCAGTTAAGAACTTCTGTTTTACTCTTAACAATTAGTTTATAAATACCCAATAAATGAAACACAGAGAATAGAGTATTTAGCTGCCACATAAGTCAATGGGACACAGAACACTGAAAGATGCAGCACATTTGAAAATTTGTTGTGATATTTATGAATAAATGTATTTAGTTAGATAAAAATTGAACCCACCTGATAGCCTTCCACTACTTTTTCTATAACATGCTCCCAATGAACAGATATCTCAGAAGATGATAAGACTTTTACACCTACATCTGTAGGGACTTCACTGGGAGCTGAAATTTGATGAAAACATTATATTCTTAGTAAGATAGTTATGTAAAGAAATTCAAATAGCACCATTTGCTGTATGAATAAATTAAAATGATATTTTAATATTTCAAAACTAGAACATAAAGTAAATTCAATAATTTTATTAACTATGCCTCTATTTTTACTAATGTCACTTGATTTTGTGGCCATCAGTGATACATGCACAAGCACATTTATATACATGAATGCTAACATAAATATAAACACACTTACACATACTCACAACACACATATTCACATCCCCCATACACATATTCTTTGTATGCAGAAATATAGAAAGCTTCATGAATTTCTATAGTACCTGAGAGCAAGAACCATACAATTTGTTTTAAATTTCTCCAAAACTATTTGCTTAGGAAAGTCTGTTGATGCAAATTAAAAGGTAACATACTTAGCTTATTAACTCTGTATGATCGCAGAAAATTACTATTTACAGTTAATTTGATATTACTTGCTATTTATAATAAATAACAATATAAATAATATTATTACTTAAAAATGCCCTCTTTTTGTTCAGACTAAGATCTTATTTTTTTCCTCTTAAGAGCATCTGAAATAAATTATGACATACACCTCTGCTCAGGCTCAGGAAAACTTTTATACATCTACTCTTCCAATAGGGCATCAAGCCAAATATGTATCCAAAAGGTCTCTGTTCATGGAAAAATAATTTACATCCCTTATGAAATTTGTGAAGTCCTATTGTATATTATAAGATAAGCATTAGATTGCTAACTTCAAAACTGGAGGACCAAACTCACCAACCACTCCTTGGAAAGTCTATGAGCCAACAGTAACAACAACAATGAAATGTATGCAAAGAAACTAAGCAAACTTTTAAGTAGGGGTGATGATTTATATATATATATATATCATTACTGTTGATATTAAGTGCCCTCACATAGATTCCAACTCATATATAACCTGTATAGGGTTTCTGAGAAGCGGCTGATGGGTTTGAACTCCTGGCCTTGATGTTAGCAGTCCAGTGCTTATTCTACCATGACACACCAGGTTTGTCTTTAATTAGCACACTATAATCCTATTTTTATGTTTTAAAATGTCCTACACATGGAGACGGTTGACTTTCCGAATAATGGTATGTGGCAATATGAATAATTTCTTAGTAATCAGAGTAATGATTAACATTCATACAAGTGTCAGTACAGGAAGGTTTTATGAGACTCATGAAGCATTTTGGAGAGAAAAATAATGAAATATAAATGGCCATGAGTAAATAGATGATGAGCATGGCCTTTTGCCTGAAAGCTTACTTTTGTAGCAAATAAAAGAGTAAGAAAAAAAAGACGGAGTAAGAAGATAATTTGCAAAATGATTTTGCTTTTTTAATGTTCATATTCTCTGTAATGTTGTTCTAATTATTAAAATGGAATCAAGTTATCATGTTATGATGAATAAACCAATAAGCATAAACATGAAAGATTTATCATTTAGGATTTTTCTACTGTTTGATTATAAACTTGAATTATTTCCTTTTAGTATTTATTCTTTCTATGCAGTTACATATATAAAGCAGACTCTAGGACATTTATACATATACAGCATACTAGGTTTCTGCACAGCTTTGTTGTAAATATATAATCAGGCTTTGTGAGTTATAGGAATTTCTCAAATTTCCTTGGGAATAAAGGTTATCTCTCATGTATTGAAATCTCTTGTCATGTCCAGATATTATTGCTTCTGCATCAATGAAAGCATATTAGTGCTAAGTTACTCTGCTATATGGAGATCAAAAGATGGACCTATAGAATAATTTCAGAAACTGAGAAATTACAAATATTAGATATCCATAACCAACACCAGAATAGTGTCTGCACCACTGTTAGTGACTTATACAAACAGAAATATAAAAGAGGATTTTAGAGCTAGAGATCACTGTCCAGTGCTCATCATACTGAAAAAGCAACGGAGTCCTGAAAAGACTAAGAAACTATCTTAAAAGCATACACACAGTGACATGATACCAAGGTCAGAACTATACTATTCCCTGTATGTTTTATTTATTGAATCAGTAAATGAAAACATAAATGAGGCTATCATTGAAATTAAAGATGCATGTCAAGCTTTGTAGATTTGTGCAAATATTAAAGTGTTCAAAGAATTAAGTTTTCTGAGAAATGACAATACCCTGTTTAGTTTTTATTTTAACACTGAACAATACAAAAGAGCACAAAGTCATAAAAAGAAAGGTGGTAGTCATGTGCTGAGAAGAAAACCTGGTCATGAGTCAAGATTTATGTTGATTCACTTGACTCCATTGCTTGATTATAATAGTGGTTAAGGGTAATGGCTTAGAATTAGAAGCCCTGTATTTAAGTCTCACTTATTCACTCAGTAGCTCTATGATATTTTGAAGCCCCAGTTCCTTTATGTGTAAGAACAACGCCACTCTCTTAAGGATAATCTGTAAAGCTCTTAACATAGCATTTGGTATATAAAGAGAAAGCAGTAGTAATAGTAGTGATTATCCCACAAAAATTCACTCTGTGGAGGCCACTAATATCCCCAGTGACTATTTGAACAAGTAACCAGGAATATATTTTCCTATGCTCTATTTAAGACTTCTAATGGTATATTATGACAAACATGGATCTTTCAGATTAAAAGGAGATTCATGAGCTAATTTTTGGCACTAAAGTGTTTATGAATAGAATATAAAATTTGAGAAATAGATGATTTTTAAATACCTCATGAACATGGATGCAAAAATTCTCAACAAAATCCTAGCCAACAGAATCCAGCAGTACATCAAAAAGATAAATATATCATGATTAAGTGGGATTCGTATCAGGGATGCAAGGATGGGTCAACATTAGAAAAATGATCAACGTAATCCACCACATAAATAAGAAAAAAAAAAAAAAAGAAAGAACCACATGATCATACCAATTGATGCAGAAAAGGCATTTGACAAAATTCAACATCCATTCCTGATAAAAACATTCAACAAAGTAGGAACTGAAGGGAAATTCCTCAACATAATTAAGAACATATATACAAAACCAACAGCCTACATTACTCTCAATGGAGAGAAACTGAAAGCCTTCCCTCTGTGAACAGGAACCAGGTAAGGATGCCCTCTGTCACC